TGTAAATCTCCAACAGGGAACTATTTTTCAAACCTGTTTACATAGGGAAACCTTTGGTCTGGGGACAACCATTAATATCTAGAAAGATAATAATGTTTCACAAAAAATAATAATTGAAAGCATTTATTAAATGCTCACTATGCCAAACACTGTTTTAGGTGCTTCACATGGATCAACACACCTTCACAACAACCTTATTAGAATTAAATTAGTGCATTTAGATTTACTACGTTATGAATAAGAAAACTGCAGCACAGAAAATAAACATCCAACTATCTCACAACTAGTAACAGCAGTTAAGACCCGTGCAGTTTGGCTTCAGAACTTGCTCTCTTCACTGTTATACTATACGGAATCAAGACAATAGAACTAATATTAGATGAAGCAAATGAAACAAGTTAGATGAGTCAAATAGCCATGAATCTCCACTTGAGAAACATGCTGTATTTCACACCTAAATAAAGTCATTTGTAAATAACAAAAACAAACAGACTTATCCAATTATATCTCAGAAAATTCCAACAAAACATTCTATCAAAAACATTAAGTTTAGTTATACAATAGCAGATAAAATTTTAAAAGTGATTTCAAGTTTTTCTTCTCTATGAAAATACATATAAGTTTTGAAGAAGCAGAACACATTTAGTGCTATCAGTAGTTATTGAAAAGAGCATACTGCCAAAGACGTAATCGTGAAATCTGGCATTTTTTATATCTTGACACTTGTATTCCTGAATATGTAATGTTTTCCTCGAGGGCACAAGGTGGCAAGAGCATGGGCCTTGAACTAGAGAAATGAAAACACACAACTTAGTTCTGCCACTTAAGAGCTTCTTGCTTTAGGGTAGGCTTTCAGACGCTGAGCCTCACGTTTTTTATCTATAAAATGGGTATAAAAAATGGTTTTCAGGGTGTCATAAAACTTAGACATGATAAAGTCTAAGCAGAGTACCTGTACCCAGTCATTCTCTTGCATTCTATTCTTCATAGCACTTCCCACTATTTGAAATGCTATTCATTTGTTTATTTACCTGTCCATTGTCTGTCTCTGTATCTGGAAAAAAACTCAAAGGGGACTGTGACTTTTCTCTGAGCTAGAACAGTGCCAGGTACATAGTGGTCGCTCAATATGTAATTGTAGAATAGGTGAACACATAGTAAGCATTAGTGGGTTAGCTTCCTTCCTGATGTCTTACATGTGTGGATTCAGTGTTAATTAACTGGTGCTTTGCAGGTTTACTGTGATTCTTTGAGAGAGCAAGAGTTTTTTGGGGAAAATATTCAAATGGAATTGATCGCTGAATTCTCTTTATCACAGGCTCAAAAGGATGCAGTAAGAAAACAGACTCTATATGTATGACAGATCTATATCTATATCTGTTATAAGCCATTCAAATGTAAGATAATACTAGAATCTAAAATAGGAAAGAAGAAGAAAGGCTAAAGAGAATATGCAAAAAAGGAAAAAAGATGAAAGAAATTACAATGCATCTTAAGGGATGAATCTTTGTATATTGGTTAACTTTCATTTTTTCTTCCTTTTCTAAAGTTTTTGTCCACTTCCTCTTTAGCTATGTTACCTAACTCATCTTCTGGAGTTTTCCAAACAAATAACATTACAAATACGAACAACTCCTGGGTATAAACACCGTCAACTCACATGAGTTTCTTCATGATGATTGTAAGATAGAAAATATTACACTATTACAAGTGTAATAGTGTAGCAGTGAAGTAGAAGAAGAAAAAGTGAAGTAGATCATCTCTCAAAAATTATTTTTATTACATCTGCAGTATAAACTGTAACAGTCACTGTGAGAAGCCCACCTTGTAGGGCAAAATATATATACTAACTTTCTAACACAAAATCCAGAAATACAGGACATCCTGATCTCCAAAGTTCCTTACTTATTACTCAAGGAACAGATTTAGTATGCATAAATGTGCAAGAATTCAAAATATGGAACAGAAGGGAAATCTCTCTACTCAACGAAAGAACCAAACAAGCTCCTGTGGATTCAGAGATTCAAAGCTAAGTCTTTATCAAAGAGCATTCTTTGGATAAAATGGCTATTATATTTCCACTGGCCTTTAAGAAATCCCTCAAAATAATCTTGAAGCTGTTTGAAGTAGCCAACTCTTCTGATACTGGCTGCATCGCGTCAGCACCTAAGGAAGCATGAATTATGGAAAGCAAAGAAAACAAGGCTGGTTTCATGCCCATTAAACTAATATTTTTGAAAACAAAACTGAGCTTTCATTTTGGCTAATTTTTCTAATCTCACATTCTGGCAGTGTTATAGTGCTCAAGCGCAAACATTTGACTCTCTCGAAACTATCTAAGCAATGGGTGTGCTAGCTGATCTCAATTCACTAGTCAGAGTCATAAGAGAAAGACACAATGCCATGGAAGAGCTGTGATTATTATCTCAGAAGTAGGATTGTGGTATACAAGCAATTTTTCTCACCATAACCCTAAATTAGCAATAATTTTTATATCATAAACTTGTTTATTCACGAATAGGCCACTTTTAAAAGGTAGTATATCAAGATTTGAACTACTTTCCTTCTAAACTCTCAGATACAGTATAGGTGGATAGGGAAACTTGAAATTCTTGAAAGTGGATGGAAAATGTAGGCTTCATAATGCTGAACTGATGATTTCCAAAGACAAGACTCCACTTTCTTTAAAGTGGAAAGAAGAGTGCTCTGTACAGGCTGTCAGTAATTCTCCTAGCCAAGATGACTAATTCTATTATTAGCATACAATCTGGAAATGAATGGCTAATAGCAGCCACGGAGAGCTATTGAGGGTGGGTTGGGAGGAGATTTCTGTAATTCCTACCCTGCATTCAATAGTTTCTACTGTTTACCAGCCTTTGACATGGAGATAACCTACATGTAGATAAAAACCTAAACAATGTAACATTTGGAAAGCCTACTGAACATAAGAACTATCAAAAGAATAGTTCTCATTGCGTTTAATCCAACACTTGCACCAGTTCTTTTACATAAGCACTAGGTGCTGAGAAGAGTGAGAATCTATAGAGAGATGAATAAAACAAGATTTTGAACTCTTAGAGGGTTGATTCCAATCCAAAAACATATAATAATACAAAAAAGAAACCTCCATAACTAGGGGTAACTAATTTGTAGTAGCTATATGAAATTAGTTGAGGTTTTTCTATTTTTATTGATTTGTTATTTTCAAATGATCAAGTTACCACATTTGAGTTAATATTTTACAAATACTCATATGAAATTTTGCTTATGAACCCAAATTATCACAATGACAATCTACTTTTTTTCCATAAATTAATCAAAGGGCATAAAAGCCCACAAATCTGTAAATCTCTTTTGGCCACCCAGTGATCTTAAACAAAGCATGTGGTCTTCTTCAACTCCATTTAATTCTGACAACTGAAAATCATATAATCAGTTCATCAAATATCAGGATGATGCTTGGGTAAACTTCAAAGTTCACTGTGGGAGGTAAGTGCTTCAGGGAAGAACTCCTTATGTATAGGCTCTGAGAAACAGGATCAGGCACTGCATCCACAGCAAGTGATTATTAACTATTAGAAAAGTTTTGTTGCAAATCTGATTTATTTTGCATTGTTCACACTTATCAAGGCAAGGTTCTTGTGCTTCTCACTATACCATAGAAACTACATAGTGTTTCCTTTTTTTTCCCTTCAATCTCTTTATTTTCAAAGTTTCTTTTCTTTTTATTGTTTGCTTTTAAAATTTGTCTCTTTTCTTTTCTTAAGGCACATTTTGAATATAGGTAAATAAATAAATCCGACATGTGCAGTATGACAGGTTGCAAAAAATCCATATGCTGTACTTGGGTGCTCCACATCTCTGTGTGGATAGAGAACGTTTCCATAACCCCAGAAAGTTTCCTCTCATATCCCTTTCCCATCAATCATTCCCTCAACAGCGGAAAGGCAATGTTCTGATTTTTCTTTTTTAACAGATTAGTTTTATCTGTTCTAAAAATTCTAGAAGAATATAGAAACTAAAAAATAATATGTTGCCTTAACTTTAATTCATGACATATAAATTCCAAACAAATACCAACATACAAAATGTGTAATGAGTATAATATGCTAATTCCACTTCCATTCACATTTGTCATCAAATTGGCTTTTATTACTGATATATAATTTGAGCTGAGAATAAGCTGTCTTAAAGATCAGAGAATATTAAAACTGCCAGCATAATTTTTACCTGCCAGTTCAGAATAAAGGAGTCTGAGTTCCCTACATTCCTATCATTACTTAAAATATTAAAGAAGCCAAGTGTATATCACAGAAAAGAAAACAAAAGAAATAAATCTTTGAGCATGAAATTTGGCTTTCTCTCTTTCTTTCTCTTGACCTCTCCCTTTATATATATTACACATACATATATACAAGATAAGTAAATATAACTCATATAAACTTTGCTTTTATATTAATTTATACATTTAAAAACAATTAGCTTAGTGGACTTCATTTCTTAAATACTTTTTTCATCTTTATACTTTAAGCCTTTCACATTGCTTTTTAAAAATAATAAAACATGTATATGCTTGAGAAGTTAAAGGTATTTTAGTGTGTTAATTTTTTCTGAAGATATCTTACTATTTAAAAAAAGAAAACCCTCTAGGGATAAACTAATTAGTAGAAGCTATATGGAATTAATGTTTTTTTCTATTTTCAGGGATTGATTTATTTTAATACAAAACTGATTACAACTTATAGACCAAAATTTCCTAATTATGCTTATCAGTAGGTGATCATTGTAAACAACTGGCTGAAAAATATATATTAACAGTTTGGGTGTCTATTTTCCTCACAAAAAATAATGAATAGTTGGGCTTTGTGTTCTACAATAGTATTTTTATTAACTGATGCCAATACTACAAACATTTCACTAAAGTCAGTATGCATTTTTAAATAAAAGAAATACAGTAATCAAAAAGACAAGGACAATCTGAAAAACCTTTACACATTTACCTTTGTAGGTTAGCTTGACTCGTGGAATATTTTGTTTAGAAGTTTCAATGACTGGAAGAAACAGCACGGTCATGCTTAGCACCACCAAGGCATGAAAAATGTAAAAGTCGTGGCTTCTGGACTTTGGTCTATCATCTTTATTAGCATTCATGATGAAAACAATGTTCTCTTTCAAACAGCGTTAATTTAATCTAAAAGTAAGAAAAGAACTATTAATATAGCAGTTTGCAGATTTTCCTAGACTTACTAAATTATAATTTTCTGAATGTATATAGATTTTAAAAAATAATTGCTCCTTTTCTCTATTCTTTTTTCCTTTTTTTTTTACAATTTTTACAAATTGCTGCAGGGAAAATGAATTAGAACTGAGTAATAAAATTCAGATCTGGCTCTACTCAGATGTGGAGACAGGTACACAACTAAAAATTCAACTGCTTATGTTAATTAGCACCTCTTCCTCTACTAAATTTTTTTTTCATGCAAATGTAGGAGGAACCAATTCTTTCTAAACTTGATGAATTCTTTGATCAGATAAGAATACTGGTAGAAGCCTACTCTTTCCCCCAAATCATTCCCAAAGGAAAAGACCCCGAAGAAAAACAAAACAAAACAAAAGCTCTTATTTTGAGGGAGTTCTTCCCTTGTTTCTGACCGAAAAGGTATTTTAAAATTCTACTTAAAATTGCACATGATCAGGTCAGGGAAAGCAGTACAGATTTTATGCCTGGGACAATGCAATCTAACCTGCACTCTACCCTACTCCACACAGGGCAGCACTTGTGGAAACAAACAAACAAAAACCTCATTAAAATGGAGACAAGAGGCCACAAGGGATAGCTTTCACGCCCAGTGTCCATAGCAGAGCCCAACAGCAAGAAGAAAGACTTGCTCTTCTTGACCAGCAAGGGGCTCAGCCAATGAAAGACTGTCACAACCTAGCCAATGGAAAGCCACTACACATGAAACTCTTGATTCCTCCAATGGACTCTGTTTACAATAGTCCTCCCAACTTTCTCTTCCCTTCTATAATAATGGTTCTCTTCCTCTTGCTGCTGGGGATTTGCACACAGCTTGCCATGGTTGCAGATACAGAATTGCAATTCTTTGCTGATCCCAAATAAACCCATTTTTCCTGGAGAAAGAACTGGCAGTCTATTTGTTTGAATTCAACACACTAAATAGAAAAACAAACTGTAAAATAAAAGTTTAGAAGAGGGAGGAGGTAGTTATTTACTAGGTTGCCATAAACAAGCTCCCTTGGTCGTCTTTTTTAAGACATGGAATAAATCAAAACTCACATATTTCAAACTACGCTAATAATAGTAATTACAAACAACATTCACTCAGTATTTATATGTACCGGATACTTTCTAAAAAGTACTTTACATAAATTAAATGACCTAATGCTGTTAAATTAATTAAACAGAGGCCATTAGACTGACGTGGCTCTGATGCTATTGTGCCTACTTAAGCAAACAGAAATCTAAGCCTGTTAATGCCTCAAAGTTATGAACTCAAAACACTAAGGACAACCAATCAACAAACAGCCAATCAGGCTCTAAGCTATAGCCAATAAAATAATTTCCTTTCATTGCTGCCATACTTTCTCTATGTGTTTCCCCTGATTCCTGTCGGTGGAGTGTGCCTAACCACTTCCAGTTTGGTGCTGCCCATTCAAATTGATTTTTGCTCAGAGAAACTCTTAAAAATTTTAATACACCTCCACTTACTTTTTGTCAACACTAATGACAGCCAAGAAGGATAGGTAATTATTTACCTCATTTCATGATGAGGAAACTGAGGTACAGAGATAAACAGTTCTCCTAAGGTCACATGGCAAATAAGAGATGGATTAAAATGTTTGTTCGGGACTGTAACTAGAGTCAGCCCTCTTAACCCCTACGTCTTTGGGTGCTTTTCATTAAGGCAGAATCAAGTCATCATCAACTCTTGATGCGGTTTTCAACTTCTCTTCCTTCTCCACAAAGTTATCGCTGTCTTTCTAAGAAATAGCCCACAGAAAGGATCTTGCTATGCCTACTCCCAGGGAGGATTCCAGATGTGGTACCTGCTTCAACTTTTGTCCCAATAATTTCTCTACATCCTTGATGACAGCTTTAGCCATAATAAAAAAGTACTACACTTTAAGTAATTTTCTAATTATTTAATATCAAAATAAATATTTTATGTCTGTATGGTTTAGTTTTAAGAGAAGGGCTAATAAGAATGAATTTCTTTTTTTTATGGAAGATCAACTCTTTACTAAAACGCCTCACAGATTTTGAATAGTAAGGTTTTAGTTACCTTAAATCTCAGAAGTTAAGATCAATCTGGTAAAGTGAAATAGAATTTAGGGATACATGTATTTATTTTTATACATGACAAACATTTTAAGGATAGACTACAAATTTTATGTTGTTTCTTCAAGAAATGTCGAACATGAATGTTTAATAAATTATATTTTCTCAGTTACTTTAATTACCTTCAAAGATACCTATAGGAAGCATCAAACTGTTCTGTCTTGTGTGTAATCTGTGCATGTTTAAATTCTTTGATTTAGAAGATTACTACAAATGCAAATAATCAAGTTGATTTAGATACTTATTAAGAATATTGTACTAAATATGCCACATATCACATATTTTATTCACATGTACTTGACACTTCTTGATGGTTTCACCTAATAAGACTTACTTTGAGAGAAAACAGGAATATCCTTCTGACCAAAAGGATCTATACCATCAGCAACCCTTATGAAAATTCTAGTTTTTAAAATTGCAATAATATACATTTTAATATAAAACACTAATGAAGTCCTTTAAATGACATATTTAAAACAAACTCTTAAAAACTAAAGAATTACATTCTTTCAGAGCTAGTAGGACAACATGTTTATGCTATTGCCATGAAACAGAGTTACTTTAGCTGGTCTACAGAAAAAATTATCAGGATTAGCTTTCAATTATGTGAGTTTTAAATTACTCAATCTTGTAAGAAATGCATCCTTGTAACTTTTCAATATGACTTTTACACCAGTAAAAAGTAGATCCATTCTCTGACTTACAGATCCTCCTTAAAAACTTACTGCTTTTACACAAATAAGAAAATACATATAAAAATATAAACATATTCTTTTTTTTTTAAGGATTGGCACCTGAGCTAACATCTGCTGCCAATCTTCTTTTTCTTTTCCCTTCTTCTTCTCCCTGAAGCCACCCCCTTCCCCCCAGTACATAGTTGTATATTCTAGATGTAGGTCCTTCTGGTTGTGCTGTGTGGTACGCTGCTTCAGTATGCCCTGATGAGTGGTGCCATGTCCACACCCAGGATCTGAACTGGCGAAACCCAGGGCCACCGAAGCAGAGTGCACAAACTTAACCACTCAGCCTCGGGGTCAGCCCCATAAACATATTTTTAACAGTTATTAACACCATAGCTAATCCCCAACCGTTTATCAAGGAGAGGAAAAAGATAAACTTCTTTTCTGAAAGGAGTGGTTGAATATATGCAAATAATTAAAGTTCCATGAAATAATTGCTAAAATAGAGACTATATAGGATGCTATAAAAAACAGCTCAAAGGAGTATCATATAGGTTTAAGCAAGACAAGGATAGTTTCACGGAGAACAGACAAAGGAAAATGGAAAGCAAAAAGAGACAGTTCCAGAAAACAGACATACCTAGTTAAGGGTTCCTGAAACACTAGAAGCATGATAGACTTGGTTAGATTGCTATGAGGAGAAGGAAGAGAGAACACAGCATAATCCAGTAGGATGGAAGAGAGAGGGCACCAAAAAAGGAACTTGACCTAACTCTTAAAGGTGCCTCATACCTGTTCTGGGACCTAATATACTATGACTCAAACAATGCCATTACTCCACACTGCCTTTGGTAGTAGAGCACGTGTGCTGGTTCCATCCATATTCATTAGCGCGTCTCTAATCCCATTTCCCTGTTCCTTTCATTTTTCCCTATATCCACCTTAACAGCAGATTCACAGCCTTGACTTACAAACAAGTATTCTTCCACCTACCCACATCCTTCAAAAAAAGTTAAAGGTTGGGGCCGGCCTGGTGGTGCAGCAAAGGGCGCACCTTCCGCTTTGGTGGCCCTCGGTTCGTCAGTTCGGATCCCAGGTGGGGACACGTCACCACTTAGTACGCCATGCTGTGGTAGGCATCCCACATATACAGTAGAGGAAGATGGGCACGGATGTTAGCTCAGGGCCAGTCTTCCTCAGGAAAAAGAGGACTATTGGCAGTAGTTAGCTCAGGGCTAATCTTCCTCAAAAAAAAAAAAAAGTGAAAGGTAAACTGAATGTAGGGATTAAATATATTAAATTTCTCATTAGGCTGAGTTTTTTGTCACTCTGGGCATGTGAAATACTACTTGTTTTCATGACATGCAACAACATATGTAATGTGAATGTACGGTTATGTACAGGCAAAAGAGAGGGAACTCTCCATGTGTGCATTTTATTAACAATAATGACTTCAGTACAGAACATTTCCTGGGAATTAATGATCAGTTGGGGTTAATGGCCCTTGGCTATGTATTGAGATATCTACTCCTCCAACTGGTCATTAATTGCTAAGACATGCCCTGTGCCTCCAACTCTATAAGTTAAGAAGATTGATGTTTCAGTTTTCAATGCACAGTAGTCATACTGTTCCTTGTAGTCCAGCTCATTAATATTGTTAAATAAGTTAAAAATCAAAGCACTGCCTTCCTTGCTACTATGACATCCTGATAAGTGTCTACACCTGCTGAAACATATGCTAAGGGTAAGGGACAAAATAAAACAAAACATCCGGAACCTGCTGGAACCTTTCTTTTTAACTTCAAATCTTTTTCTACTATAAAATAGTCACTCTCTATAATCTACTGCTCCTGATTCTTTGTTTTTCTCCCCAAGAATCCTTTGAATTGAAGTTAATCTTTTAATTGAGATAATTTATGGGTTAAATGTATTGCCAACAACCTCTCCAGTAATCCATTGATATTTTGCAATCTTCCAGTGCATGTTTGTGTGTAGATGTGTGTGTTTTGTGTATGCAGATGTGTGTGTGTCCTGCATCTGGGAGGAATTATAGAGAGAAGGAGGTGTGATTTAACCTACAGTGGGTGGATTTAGTGAACTGCATAGGTTATACTACATGCTACTGTCTGTAACAAGCTCGACCTGGAGCCA